TTGGAGTGCTGTGGAGTGGTCACAGCTCACTGTAACTTCAGACCTTCAGACTCCTGGGCTCAAGCCATCCTCCTGCCTCAGCTTCCCAAATAACTGGACTATAGGCACATGTCACCATGCCCCGTTGTTGTTGTTGTTTTTTAAATTTTTTTTTTTTTTTTTTTGTAGAGACAGGGTGTTGCTATGTTTCCTAGGGTGGCTTCCTACCTTGGCCAGCTAAAGTGCTAGATACAAGTATGAGCCACTACACTCAGCCTGCTCCAGCATTTTAACCAGAGAAGTTACCATTTCTTCATCCTCCCAAAACTGTATTGTGTTAGAAGATTAAAGAGAAGACACTAGGCTTTTCCAAGAGATGGTTGCATTTGTATGGATGCTGATTTATTCTTAAATCTTTAGACATATTTTATAACATTCTCATTGGTGGTCATTGGAAGAGAAGCCTTCCCATTCCTAGCTCACAAGTTTTCTTCTCAAATATTTTAGCCTTGAATATTTATATAGACACATCTATATGTATGTATATTCATATATATGTAAATGTTTCAAAATGTTAAATTAGACATCCCCCCGCCCCCCTTCCCAAGTCACTACCACTCCAGGGAAGAGCTTGGGAGGCTTGTTTCTCCTGGTGGGTGTTTGATTGATTGAGGGAAGAGCAACAGGAAGAAATCACCATAAACAGGTTTATGTAATTTGCAGACTACAATAACAGCTAGTTTCAACTTCACGTTTGATTTCATGATACCATCCTGCTTTTCATTGTAAGAATTCTGCACGGCATAAGTTTTTGTTTCAAGCAGAGCAAAACATTTGCTTTTGAAAACTGTGTGATAACTCCATGGATCACCAGGGACATCTGAAAAACTGATATTGAGATTGACTTTATCTATACCAGGCTTGCAAAATCAAACGCTCCCAAGGGCTAGGCAGGTCGGGTGGAGACTGTGTCAAACTGGGTGTTTAAGTCCCATTTCAAGGGGCAGCTTCCAGTGGACTCCAGCCTATTGTTGCCATAAGGAAGTGCATGCCATGGAAGATATTAATTGTTTACTATTTTCTGGTTCCTTTCTCCTCCGTGGTCCATGGGAGGACTGAGCTTCCTTGCATCTTTGAAATTAAGAATGGCCATGTGACTTGCTTTGGCCAATGAAACATAAGCTAAAGTGATGTATGTCACTCCAGGAGGAAATATTTCACTGCTAGTGCTCGGCCCTCTCTACTTCTTTTTCTCTGCCCTGGTGGCCATGAATGCACTTGTTGATATGAAGGTATCAATACTGAGGCATCCCTGGAGAATCACTTCAATCCACAGTTGTCTTGTGTGAGTGGGAAGTAGCCTTTCTTTTGTTAAGCCAATGAGTTTGGGGGGATATTTGTTACTGCAGCAAAACCTAGCTTATCCTGACTATTACATATGCCCAATGTTGCCTGACTTTGATATTTTTAAAAGAGAAGTTTGAAATCTAGATTTTTTATATGAAATCTTTGCTATATTAAAACTTTTTTTCTACAATTATTTTTTTGAGATGGGGGTCTTACTATGTTGCCTAGGCTAGACTTGAACTCCTGGGCTCAAATGATCCTTCTGCTTCAGTCTCCTGAGTAGCTGGTACTACAGGTGAGCACCACCATGCCTGTCTTTTAAAAAAACAAATTTAAGGTTGAAGCCAGAAAAGCCAGATTTTCAGCCCTGCCAGCTACGGGTTTGCAATTTTGGTCTATAGAATTTGAGTAGAGACTGGAGCAGCAATCCTGTCTGAATTCCAACAGTGCTTATAGCCTGTGTTGCATCATTAGCTCTTAGCTACTCTTGGTCTTGCTATTCATTAGCTTGTAAATCATTTTTCCTAATTAGATGGGACGTAGGAACAGGTGAGAAATCATGTCTTAAAGTTTGTGTACCTTGAGGGTGCACAGATTTTCAGTAAATACTAGGATAAAGACTAGTTGACTGGCTGATTACTCAGAACTGTCACTTTCTGCTTTGATTTTGGAGGAGCAGGTCTGGGGAATTCATTATTTTACCTCACCATTTCAGTTTTCCCCTCTTTGCAAAGAGCTTGGGATTCATCAATGTCCATTAAACTTTAAAATGAAATAGTCCACATAAGTCAGAGATGCAAACCCACTGTATTAATTAGGACTTTTCTAATTGCAAGTAATAGGAAACCCAAATTCAAACTGCCTTGGGTAAGACATAATTTACTGATTCCTATAGCTAAAACCTGCAGAGGTCAGGATAATGTCAGGCATGACTGAATTCAGGAACTCAGGCAGTGTCATTGGAACTTGATCTGTCTTTCCCTCCGTGGCTTGGCTCTACTCTTCCTCCCATTAGCTTCACTCTCAGTAGATCACTTTCATGTGGTGGCTTCTGGCAGCTTCTCTTTCCAGCAGATCCACAAAATTCCCAGTCTTATGAGATTTACTTGGGATACGTGAGGATCTCTCAATCAGCCCATTGGCTAGGGCTGGGTGTGTTAATCAGGACTTTTCTAGTTCTGATAGGAAATTTAAATTCAAACTGCCTTAGGCTGAGTCACTTGTCTGTCCCTAAGAGCCAGCGGTAGATCAGCTCCATCCAGCATCCAATGTCTGCATAAAGGACCCAGTTTATGCCTCTCCCTCTAGCCACTCCCAGAGGCAGTGACTATGTAGAGGGGCCTAGTAGGGAGTATGTGACCAGAAGGGAGGCCTTGAAGCTGTGTTCTTATAGCATCCTATATGAAATTGAAAAACTCCATATCAAATAACAGAGAAGACCTAATGGAGATTATAGGTAGGTAGAGGGGACTAAAGACCTCCCAAGTCACCTCTTGGTGCCACCTCTGTAACATATTTAATTTGTGGGGGAAGCAAAGGCCCAGTAAGACTGCTGGTGGCCCAGTCACAGTCCAAAACAGGCCCTAGAGAGGACGAGCTCTAACCACACACCCTAATTATTAGTCCCTGCATACAGATCAGTTTATTTTATCCAGAGCCCCAGCCGAAGACACATCAAGTAGTATTGCCTCTGTTCTATGTTTTGTTCCATATAAACATCCAGACACAGGTCTCATGGGAGAAACATCATGAGGCAGTTTCACAGTCCCTGGCTTTGATCTTTACGCTGTAGTAAAGGTGTCATTGGCCTTTCTAGGGCGGAGAGTCATGCTCTTCCACAAGAGTATCAAATTACTGCTCATTTTCCAATGTACAGTCTTTCAGGGTCTTGCTTTCCGCTTACCTGCCCACACCAATGCTGTGAGGGAGATTGCTAATGGCGAAGGTGAAAATGGTCAGGCAATGTCATTGGGACTTGGTCTGTCTCTCCTTCTATTAGCCCAATTCTTTTATCCAGAAAGATTTCACTGCACTGGGGAAATAAGGAGAATAAAGTCTCATGCACTCACTCACATGGGAGAGACGTGCATGTTCGGGTTTGATCAATTGCACGCATCTGTCTCAAGTCTTGTTGTTTCTTTCACTCTGAGCATCTGCACTCCAAGAAGGCATGAACTTTTTTCTTTCACTTCCTTTCTTCTATGGGTGATGACCTGACATCACTCTCAGAAGGAGGCCGAAAGTCGCTGAGTATAAAACTCATCACTCCTATCTGGCTTAGGCAGAAGGTAGGGGGCTCGATGGGTACCCAGGAGCATTGGAGGTAGGAGATGTCACCTAGGGAACCCCGTTCTACCTGAGGGCTCTGTGTCTCTGCCTTTGTAGACTGCAGGGCACCATGGATGTCACCTTCCCTCTGGAGTCCCCTTCACCATTTCCTCTCTAGGAGGATGGAAGGTGGGAGTGGGGTTGGCTATTGAAGCTGTAACGGGGAAGAAGGCCACTTGGGGTCTGCTGAGGGCTGGCTCTGCTCACTGCTGTGTCCGGAGTGGAAAGGAGAAGCCCGCTGGAGCAGGGCACAAGCCCAAGGGTCAAACTGTGCCAGCAGCAGAGCAAGCCGCGGTCTCAGGCTGCAGCCCTAGCGGAGGGCAGGCTGGTGCAGCGAGCCGCCTCGGGGCCTAAGGGCGCTGGCGGGGGCCGGTGGGTAGGGGTAGGAGTCCCCAGATGCCTTCATCTCAGCCCATCCTTCTCCACCGAAAAATAAAGCAGGCTGGCGAGATCGCCTCCTCACCCGCTCAGTCCTGAAGTGTCCAAGGATGAAACTGTGCTGAAATTGTCCCTGTCTCTCTCAGTTTGGGGGGAAGCGCCGGGATTGAGGTACATGGTTAACACAGGCTGTGCGTGAAGGGGCTTTTGACTTGTCCCCCGGCCCCGGCCTCTCGCTTCTCTCTCCCAGCGCTGCGGCTGCCTGGCGGGCACAAGCCGAGCGGCGGTGCGCGGGGGGTGCGCTTACATAACCGCTCGCCGCGTCCTGCTTTCTCGCGCGCTCCTGCACCATGGGGTGGCGGAGCCGGGGGACTGGATGGAACCCGGGCCGCCCCCGCGGGGAGAGGAGCGCAAGCGGCAGCGGGAGGAGGGCGCCCAAGGCGGCGGGGGAGGTTAAGGTCAGTGGGTGTGAAGCGCCGGCTCCACACCCCCTCCTCCTCGGTCCCCTCCTTCCCTTCCTCTCCGTCCCCCTCTGACGTCTGGAGCTGGCAGCTCGGCCGGTTCCGCATTCCCGACCCCTCCCCGCCGCCCAGGGGCCGCTATATAGCCGGGGCTGATGCAACCCGTCCCGCCGCCCGCCACAGCCTGCGGGAGGGACGCTCGGCGGCCGCGACGGGGGGCGCTGGCGGCAGCGGCGGAGCGGTTACGCTGCAGCGGCGGCGGGCTGGCGCCGCGGCGGCTCCGGCCGGGACAGGCCTGGGCACGGGCGGAGTCCGCGGCGGGCGGCAGCGGCGCGAGCGGGCACGGCGCCTGCAGCCGGGCCCGGCCCCGGGGCGCCGCCTCCGCCCGCAGGCTTCTGCACGGTGGGTGCGAGGGCGCGCGTGGGGGCGCCGGGCCGGGCCGGGCCGGGCGGGCGCGGGGCGGGCGCGCGCGGGCACCTGGACGCCGGCGGAGCGCGAGGAGCCACAGCCCAGCCCCGCGGGGAGGCTCCCGCAGCCCAGGGACCCCGAGCTTTCCCTGCGCCGGGCGCTGCAGCCGGGCCCCTCCCGCAAGGCGCCCGGCAGCCCCAGGCTTCCTTTTGGTTCCCGCCCCGGGACGGGAGGCTCCGTCCGCTCCCTGGGCAGCCGGGGCGCTCCCTCCTTCTCCCTCCCGCGCTCTCCTCCCCTGTCCGTTTGCAGGGAGGTGCTCTCCTCGGGCGGCGGGGAAGGCGGGGTGAGTGGGGAGAAAACTGCCCGCGGGCTGTGCGGGTGGAGATGGAGGGTGAAGGGCCAGGGAGGTGCGGGGTTGGGGTGGGGGTTCGACTGTGGAGGGATGACAAGGACCTGCTGGCAGGGAGGAAGCGCGACTCCCGGAGGACCTGGACCTGGAGGAGAGTATTGAGAAGGGCTCTGGATTTCCATCCAATGAAGGCACCTTCTCTCATGGCCATTGCTTTGGAGCTCTGGGCTGGGAAAGGATCTAGGGGTGGCCGGGGTCCCCTTTGGGCTCTCCTGTCTCCCACGCCAGGTTATATAAGGAGGCAAGCAGGCTCCTGTAGGTAACCAGCCTCTCCCTTGCCCAGCCCAGTTTAGAAGGCTCTCCTCTGCTCCTCCCCTCAGAGGAGGTTGTCGAGGGGTAGGGGTGCAGTTGGGGGTGGGAGAGTGTGGGGGTGGAGTGGGCCTTCCACCTGGACCCCTGGACCTTGGGATGGCAGAGCCAGGCTTTGCCTGGGTCAGTGGGAGGAGCAGGGAAGATGAGGAGGCTGGGGAAGATGGGGAGGTCCTGGCTCTTTTGCAGGGATGGAAAGGCTGGTGGAAGGAGAAATCAACCGACCCCCTTGGGTCATCTCCAGTTGCAAGATGTCCTGGCCCTTGCCTAGGGTGCTGCCCTCCCTATTGGAATCCAGGGCATGGGGCTATGGCCCGACCACGTGTGCTTAGGGCAAATGTGCTCAGGTCTGTATCTCAGAAAGGGCTTGCAGCCTGCTTAGGCGTGTGTACCCAGGCTTAAATCTTGGTGGTCTCTCCCTAGGGTCTTAATTTGAGGAGCATCAGGAATTGGGAAGCTTTGAACCATGTTTGGGTACATTTGTACCCAAACGTCCTTTAAGCCCTTGATAGGAACTGCGTTCACATATCTCCCTTCCCCCCAACCTTCCTTCCCTGAGGGTTTTTAAAAAACACTTCCCATTGCTTTTACCTTTCCAGCAAATCTGGCTGCAGCTTGGATGGATGGCTTATCTTCCTTTGCAGGTTTCTAGGGGAGAGTTTAACCAGGTATCAGGTGTGAGCATGGCTCTGATTTTATATAAACCTGAGGATCCAGGCAGAGAAGCAAAATCTATTCTCATACCTCTGGGTGGTTAAGGTTTTGCCTTGTTTAGAGCAGGGAGGATGGATTTCTCAAAGACTCTTCTGTTCCCTTCTACTTTGGCTTTGGTTCAGAGCTGCAGGCAGCTCCAGAATCTTCCTGAAGAGCTGGGTGCTGTGCGATTTGAAGGGCTGCAGGGAGTCATGGGTGTGTAGACCTCCGGCTTTTCTCCTAGGTTGGCTGCAGTCACCTTCAAGGAGATGTGTTGCAAGGTGGTGATAATGCCCCATAGAAAGGGTTTGGATAAGGGTCTCCCCACTCACCCACTGCCTAACTTTTGCAGCTATTACCAGGGAATGCTCCTCCTGACTGCCTGGGTTTGTTGTCATCTCCCTACCTGTTTGCAGGATGTGTGGGCAGCTTTTCCAACCTGCAGAATCCCTGGCAGGAATAGGCTCTCTGGGCCTCGTTTGTAGTGGGGCTACTGGTGTTGCAATGGGCTGTCTCTCTCGAGTGTCTGTTTCCATCTCCCCTCTGGAAAGAAAGGGGCCAATGCCGACTCTAGGCCGGCCTGCTCTGTATTCATTCAGCCCCAGCTCAACTTGAGCAATCAGAGCCAGGGTTGAGGGCAAGCAACATTCTTTTCTGCCTTTCTGCTGCAGGATGCAGTTTGCTTTTTTTCCATGCGAATGAATTATGTTTGAAACCGAAATGGGAGGAAGAGAAAAATGGAGTGAGTGTGTATGGGTATGTGTGTGTGCATACCTATATAGGCAGGGGAGGGCAGCAGGCACATTATTTTTCCATTTTCCTTTAATTAAGGCTCTGTGGAGGTGTGTTTGAAAACAGAGGGTCTCCTATGCCTTTGAGGAGGGTGAGAACACTGTTTTGGCTGCATCCCGGGCCATATGCAGTGTATGGTGGCCAATGAAACCGGGCCTGGCTCATTCTGTTGCTTGTCTTGGCAGTCGGTTCCGTGGCTTGTATTACCAACTCTGGAACTTAGGGACTGCCAAGCTCCATGTGCCTGTGTATGTGTGTGTGCGTGTGCATCTGTGTGCACACGCGTTCTTGTGTGTGTGTGTGTGTGTGTGTGTGTGTGTGGTTTGGCCTCTCGAAACTCAGCAGAGACAAATGCCTTAGTGACCCAGTCTTGGAATTTTCAGCCTGTGTTTCTTTGCGTATGGCTGTGGGAGGCCTGGCCAGAGCCCACCATTCTTAGTTGTTGTTGTTTTTTAGTCTATTTTCTTGCTGCAGCCCACGGGATTTGGTTGCGGAGCTCCATTTGCAAAGCTTCAGCTGGCCAATGGCATTTTTAAAAAAGAGACCAGGGCGGTTATCACACCTTGTGTGTGTGTCTGTGTTAGGTGTGGTACTGTTAACCCCTGCCAGCCACCAAGGACCAGAACTGGCGTGAAGCCGAAGGGGGAATAGAAAACTCGTCCAGTAGCTGTACGCTCCCAGCTTCCTCTTGCTGCCTGGGTTAAAGATTCCTGGCAGAGATAACTTCATATGTATTTACTGAGCACCTACATTAGGCAGAGCACAAAGCTGTGTTATAGGCAAGGCCCTGGAAGCATTTCTCTGGTCTCCAGGGAAAACCAGGAGTTTCCTGGGGGTTGGTTCCAGGTTCTCCTATGGCTGGGATGGCTGTGCAGGGATCACGGCTGCCAGTGTTCAGTGGCTTCCCTTGAACCCAGCTACCCCTCCTTGTCTTCTTAGGAAGCAGTGCAGGGATGGAGTAGATTAAACGGCACAGGAGATGCTGGCTGTCTGCCTCGGGGCAGGAATGGAAACTAGTTCTTGATGGCACCTTGTTGCCAGTGTCTGTGCAGCCGTGTTCTGGCCTGCAGGGTGGAGGAGACCTTAGAGGAAACCGAGGCCAAGGGCAGGTGCTGGGCCCCATTTCTGCACCTTCTACCCAGCCCTGACCTGGCACCCTTTGTTTCTGTTCTTCAGTCAACTGCCAGGATGCAAGATGGTCCTGCCCCCTTGGGATTTAGAGCTGGAAAGTGGGAGAGCAGAGAATCCTGTGGGGAAAATCCTCTTCATGGCTGCAGGAAAGAGAGACTAGTCCAGAAGGGACCCTGAGGGGTCATCTGGCACTGGTGCCCCTCCAGGAAGGAAGGCCCTGGTGGCCACACTGACTTCACACTTACTATGTGCAGGCACTGTTCCAGGTACTTTCCAAGTATTAACTAATTTAATCCTCTTGACAGTTATACAGGGCAAATAACATTGTTATTCTTACTTTACAGCTGAGGAAAGAGAGGCACAGAGAGGTTAGGGAACTTGCCCAAGGGCACACAGCCAGTAAGGGACAGATCTAGGATTCACATTCAGGTGATCTGGCCCCCCAACCGCCACTCTTAACCCCACCTTCTTCTTGGCCTGCAGAGCTGGGGACAGCCATCTGAAGAGAGCCTTTTGCTGCTCGCCTGCACTCTCAGTCTTGGAGCCCTCCCCGCATCATCTTGCTTCTCACCTTCTGGATCTCCTTGACTTTTGGAAGCTGCGTGACCTACGTCATTCAGATTCCAAGAGAGAGGTCATCCTGGGTGACTCCTTAGCTCCAAGAAGAGGCTTTGTGGTTGATTCTCCAAGATTAATGGTAGCAGGTACTATGCGCCATGACCACTGGCCTGGCACCTTTCTGACCTTCTCTGTGGACTCCTGCCCTCTGCATCCTGCTCTCTCCTGGGAATCTTCCCAGGCTTTAGCTCCCAAGATCTCCCACTTCTCTTGTTGAGCCTCAATCGCCATTGCCCATGCCCTGCCCTCAACTGTAAACTCCCTCCCTCCTTGACCTGTCACTCTCACCTCCACGTTCTCTCAGCACCAAGCCTTGAGCCTTAGGCCATCTGCACCCATGTGCATACCCATTCTTATTCCTCATGGCAGCCCAAGCCAGCTGCTGGCCTGGAGGGGAGCTTACCTTCTCAAAGAGGCCCAGGAGTTTTATAGCCTCCTTGAAACCTTTGTTTCTATGGACAGAAAGTTCATGATGCAGATGCTAAGTTTCTCTTAACCTCTTTTTATTTACCTGTCTTTGCCATTCTGGATGAAAATGCTGATTTTTGGGCACTTTCTAACAAGAATGGCCCTTATAAATTTGACTCATAAAACAAGACTGTTATTTATTTATAGACACTTCCATTAAAAAAGATTTAAGGACCGGGCATGGTGGCTCACACCTGTAATCCCAGCACTTTGGGAGGCCGAGGCGGGCAGATCACCTGAGGTTGGGAGTTCAAGACCAGCCTGACCAACATGGAGAAACCCTGTCTCTACTAAAAAATTAGCCAGGTATGGTGGTGCAAGCCTGTAATCCCAGCTACTTGAGGCTGAGGCAGGAGAATCACTTGAACCCGAGAGGTGGAGGTTGTGGTGAGCTGAGATCATGCCATTGCACTCCAGCCTGGGCAACAAGAATGAAACTCTGTCTCAAAAAAAAAAAAAAAGATTTAAGGCGTTAGGTTTGTGCAAAAGTAATCACGGTTTTTGCCATTAACCTAATATCTTACAGATTTACATACAAAAAAATGAGAGAAGAAAACCAGAGGAAAAAGCTTAATAAGTTACCTTTAGCTTTTCTTTTGGCTGAAATGATACTTCATGTTAGTATCTCCCAGGAGGCTCTATTTCCTAGACTTGAAATGTTTTGTGGCTTTTCTTCTGCTTGTACAAGGCAGTGCCCTAACTGTGTGCCCACAGGCCACTGAGGAAGAGTAGAGAGTACAACTATCAGACCTTTTTTTTTTTTTTTTCAAGTTCTTTCCTCTTAGATCCATCTGGTCCCCATTTTCTTCAAGCTGGCTTTCGGGGAGCTGCATCATAATCTTAGGATCAACAACAGCTTAGGGTCCACTGTGACCTTCTGAACCTCATCTATCTGATTCATGCCTTGCTAGTCAGTCGCCATCTTGAATGTGTGCTTCACCCAGCTTTCCTTCACTGGCTGACTTCCAACTTATTCCTGGTCAGTGTCCCGCATTGCCAAAGTCTTCTTGGATTCTAGGCCTATATTTTGAGGCACAAGCCCCATTTTCCAGTGTTGGTGTTCTGCCAATGTATAGATCTTGCTCCTTATTTATGCCCCCTAGTTACTCATGGAGACACCGAGGATGTTTATCTGCCTTTCAGACCTCCTGGGCCCTGAAGGGAAAAAACTCTGGGTTCTTCTCCTGAAGCTTTTAGTGTGTAGTTCTTCTTTTCCTACTAAATTGTTTCCGTATGGAACAACCAATGTGGGAGATGATTTCACCTCTTGTCATCTTTCCTAAGTCTTCCTTGAAGTGGGTAAGTCCCTTCTGGATGTTATTGGTTCCTTGCCGCTGCCACCTCCACTGCCTCCCTCCCCCTTTTTATAGATCCTTAAATCACATCAAATTGTTTTATTTTTCAAATCACTAAAGTTGCCTTTCTGCCTTAGATCGTCAGCCAGCTCTTTGCAGTTAATGAGGATCCAATTATGAAAGGCAGCTGCTCAGCTCCTCCATCTTCTGTGCCCCCCCACCAGAGATGTTTAGGATGACTTCCGGCTGGTGAATGTCAGCTGCTGTGGTTGTCTCCTAGGAATGGCATGGCTGAGGGCTTTGTGGTTTGTATCTGAGCAGTTAGGGGGCTCTTTTGTAGGGGGCGGAAAGATAGGGGACTTTTGCTTCTACAAAGGAAAGACTAGTGCCTCGTCTCCCGGGTGAGGCTTGTCACTGGGATAGATTCACAGGGGAACAGGAATGGCAAAATTTAGGGGCCCCCGCTCCCAGAGGGTGGCCGCCCCTTCAGGGGGTTCCACAGTAGCAGAAAATTCGTTGTATTTTGGGATCATTTGTTAGTGTCTCATTTCTACCATCTGTGTGAGAATAAACAGAAGTTGCAAACAGCCTATCATTCCTGGAACAGAATGGCGTCTGGCTTCCATCTCCCAGAGATGGAAGGTTTAGGCAGGGAAATACACAGAAGCCTCTGGAGTGTTTTTCTTGGGGTCTACTGTGGGAATGAATAACTTGGAGGTGAAATTACAGCCTGATAATGAGCATCTAAGCTTCCAGAGACGGATTCTTACCCCATTTGCTGAATTTTGCTCTGCTGTGAATTTGCTGTCATTTGTTCATTCATTTATTTACTTAGTTCTTACTTCAACAAGTATTATTGATGACCTTTTCTGCGCCAGAAATGATGCTAAGCACTGGGGTCACCTGGGCGACAACCAGCCGTGACTGCTGCTTACCACCTGGAATCACCGCGCTGCTGGCCACATGGCCACATGGCCACATGGGTTGTTCCCGGCACAGTTTTGCTACAAGGAATAGGTCTTCCTGCTGGCTCCTTCCCTGTTCTCCTTAGAGGAGGCCAGGGGAGACATGCAGCTCATCTACAGTGCCCCGGAGCAGCCTCCTACGTGGCAGGCTGCGGCCCTCTCTGCATTGCAGGTTCCATTCCAGAAGGCTGAGAGAAGGCTCTCTTACTGCACTAGGCTCCAGTCCAGTTCAGAGTTTGGGGGATCAGAGGACATTGAACACCCACATGCGAGAGGTCTCGGGGGCTATTTCTATGTCTGGGCTGCCACGCAGGCTACCATGGAGTTCTTCAGGGAACTTCCTAAACCTGGATCTCCATGGGGGGTGGAGGGTCCTCTGTGCACGACAGTGACCCTCTACTATGGGCTGGTGTCTGAAAGCCCATCATGAGACAGTCATTCCTTCTGCTGAAGGCATCGTTACCTATTGGACCCCAGGAAGGGAAACAAAAAAGGCAGAGTGAGAAAGCTTTGGTCTAAAACCCTGGGACCAGGAGTCGAGCCGTGGCTCCAATCCTCTGCAGCTGTGTGACCTTGGGGAGGCCATTTAGCCTCTCTGAGCTTTAGTTTCCTCCTGTCAAAATGAGGATGTGGTTTAGATGAGCACAGGGCCTCCTTCAGCTCTAAGACTGTAATTCAATGTGATTGAGTCTCACACCTTTTTCCGATGGCCCAGGGACACTGGGTGAAGGAAGTAGAGAAAGGATGTGAGTGGGAAGGGGTGCTAAGAGGACCAGATGTGGGAGCTACAGTAGATAGAGCACAGATAGAGGAGCCTGAGGATACCAAAGAAAAACTCTGGGGCAAGCCAGGGAGCTATGGGCAGAGGCTTTATGACCGATGCGGCAGGCATACTGAGGATGAAACGGCAGGTCCACTTCCCGTTCCCAGGCACCTTGCTTTAGACACCTTGCTTTAGACAAAGGGATGGCCAGTGGAAACCTTTGTGCTTGAGGGTACAAATTACTCACATACTTTTCCTCTTAGAGAAATAGAACTTATTGGGAAATAGACTCTGGACTTGGACAGGGAACCAAATTTCACCTTCGAAAGTGAAATGGAGATGGAGAATATGACTTGCACTTGTGGCCAAAACAGGTTCATGAATGCCCCTCTCTGGAATGATCTAGACCTGGGAAGTGGAATGGGGACAGGTGGTTGTCAAGGGTCACCCTCCAAGGCCACTCCTGTAGGAGACAGAGAGCCCAAGAACGTGTGGCCATCTGAGTAGATTAACTGCCCACCAGAGCAGCCTTGTCCAATGGACATCAGATCTTCCCTCTTCTGCCAAATCCATCTCTCTCCATGGGAAGAGACAGGTAAAGATGGAAGGATAGGCCAAAGATTTTCCCTCAGGAGTGCTAAGCCAGTGAGGATTTTGATTTTATGGCCCTAGGCAGAAAGGTGAGAAGAGGGAGAAATGATTTCCTTTCCAGGACTAGAATCTAAGAGCAGTTTCATACTAACATGCTACTTATAAGGCTGCTCCAAAGCTAAGACTGCACATCTGACCTCCATATTCCTAGGGCCTGCTGGCTCATAGTAGGTGGTCAGTAACTGGATGGATGGGTGGGTAGGAGGAGCCCTTCAAGGGACTGGCTTTATTGGCAGACCAGCTTTCTTCACTGCCATCTGTGCCTTGAAATGACCGTTTCTTCCCCATGAGCTTCCCCCAGTAAAGGGAAGAATTCCCTTGGTGTTGACCTGTCTAATTTACATCCTTCTTCCATGTCTGAATCTGTCTTCCCTCGTACACCTTTTTGGTCTGGCACAGCTGGAATATGTGTTTGCTCTGAGAATGAAGAGACCATGGAGGTAGCCAGGTGTGGTGGCTCACGCCTATGATCCCAGCACTTTGGGAGGCTGAGGTGGGTAGATCACTTGAGGCCAGGAGTTCAAGACCCGCCTGGCTAACATGAGGAAATCCTGTTTCTACTAAAAATACAAAAATTAGCTGGGTGTGGTGGCACGTGCCTGTAATTTCAGCTACTCGGGAGGCTGAGGCAGGAGAATTGCTTGAACCTGGGAGGCGGAGGTTGCAGTGAGCCGAGATCGCGCCACTGCACTCCAGCCTGGGCAAAAAAAAAAAAAAAGGGGGGAGGGCATGAGGGCATGGAGGAGTTTTCTGGTACTGGGTTTCACACGGAAAGCACATGCTAATTAATTCCACCTGCTTTGCCTCAGTCCCTTCCTCATAGATATCACACATACTCACCTTTAACTTAGCTTTGCTTCATCTCCTATTCACGGTGTCTTAACAAGTATGCAGAATAGGATGTGTGATTGGAGGGGAGGCACCATGCCAGACCAAAAATAGCTTCCTCTGAAACAGGTGTGAAGGTGCTTGAGGTTCCGCCGTTATAATTCACTCTCTTCAGAGACTGTATGCTGCCATTGAAATCCCAGCTCCACCAGTTTTAACTGTGTACGACCTTCAGCAAATTATCGTTCTAAGCTTGGCTACGTCCTCTGTGTAATGACCTCTGATCCAGCCTAATGGGACTGACTACAGGATTACTGTGGGGCCTGGCACATAGCAAAGGCTGAATACATGTTGCCTATGACTGGGTCAAGCATTGCCTTCAAAATAAAAAAGGCAGACACTCCTGGCAGTGCCAAGGGTGACCTTGGTGTGAGTTAATTGAGCAACTTTTCCTCTGTAACAGGAAGGACTTTACGGCAGGAAGAGCAGCTGGGTGGGAAAGGGATTCAGGGGAACAGTGGTGAAAGAAGCGACAGTCCTGGCAAAACGAGGGGCTTGAGCCCTCCTGGAGCCCCTGACCTGGCTGACTGTCCTGCTCTTTTCCTGCCCACTCCAGGCTGGCCTGCCGCTCCTCCTGCTATGATGCCTGGGCAGATCCCGGACCCTTCGGTGACCGCAGGCTCCTTGCCAGGGCTTGGCCCCCTGACCGGACTCCCCAGCTCGGCCCTGACTGTGGAGGAGCTGAAATACGCTGACATCCGCAACCTCGGGGCCATGATTGCACCCTTGCACTTCCTGGAGGTGAAACTGGGCAAGAGGCCCCAGCCCGTGAAAAGTGAGGTGAGCGAGTCTTTTACCCCTGGCAGATTCCAGGTCTGGCCCTAAACCCACCATGGGACCTTAACCTTGATATTCAAAGTGGAGTCTGAGGACCGGTAGCATCCACACCACCCTGGGGTTTTCAGAAATGCGGAATCCCAGGCCTCGCTCCAGGCTTCTGAATCAGAATCTGCATCTTAACAAGATCCCCCAGGGATTCGTGGACGTGTTAACACTGGAGAAGCACTGGGCCAGGGGAGGATATTTAACCTGTCTCTGGTTCTCCGAGGGGCGGGGGAAGAGTGATAATAACAACAGTAATGAACAGCAATATCTCGGCCATCTCTCTGGGGTGGTGGGTGGATCAGGGGAGATAATGGGAATGGGAATGTGTACATGTTTTGAAAAGTAGACGAGAGAATGCCAATATTAGGTTATCTTTTAAAATTATCATTAGTCACATCATGACCTCCACCCCTCTTGGCCCTTTCTGCAGCTGAACCAGGGAACTTGGAGGAAGAGTAGTGCGGCCTCCCTTCCCAGGCAGCTGCCAGAGCTGGGCATGGCCTCAGTCAGCCAGCAGTGTCCGCCTTAGATGGCACTTGCCCAGGACCCACACGTGGAGCACCCACATGTGGCATTTGCAAGGGACCCCTCCTCAGGTCTGTTGTACCTGCAGCTCTCATGAGCCCTTTCCTCAGGGCACTGGTGAGCAGCAGCAGTCCCCGGCATGGCCGAGGATCTATGCGGGGCATGCCCCCGGCCACTTGCCCAGGGCTGGCCGTTTGTCTGAAGGCCTGCCCCAGCAAGGTTCCCAGCAGTGCCGTTTCTTCAGAGGCCTGCCAGAGTAGCTGCCCCCTGGAAAGGAGGAGCCTGTGGTGGGAGGTGGGGAAGAGGCTGGGATGGGGAGGGCACAGGAAGCGGCTGAGCAGCTGGGAATAGCAGCTGTGCTTGGAGGGAGGGTTCACAGGCAAAGGTGAGCCTGGGGGGAGCTCGGGGGGCTGAAGTGCTGGAAGTGCTAGAGAGAGAGGGCTTTCTGCATGGAGAAGGGCGTCTGGGTAACCGCAGGGGAGAGCTGGGGATATTAGGCAACTATTTCTCAGCTCCCCTTCTCCTGACAGGTACCTAAAAACTGCAGAGGACTGTTGGGGGCTTGGCTGTGGTGGCACACTGGCCATTTGCAGGCTGGACCTGGCTCTCAGATGTATTTTGTTTGGCCAGCTCAGTGTTTTAAAAGAAACGCGAACCCACATTTCACTTGAAAATTTTGATTAAAAAATTGGAAGATCTCATCATACACTGCCCTGTTCTGGCATGGCAATGGTTCAGTGGGGGTGGACGGAGGTACTTTACTGTTTCCTCTTTCCAGTAGGCCACAGGCCCCTGTACCTCCCTGTTATCTTGATCCTGCTTATATTGTTGGTTTTGCTTTTGCTACTACCATCTGTCTTCATTTACCTCTACTGCCTGGACCGTGTTAGCCATTTGTGCTCAAGACACGTGGATGAGGTCCATCATAGGTGCCAGCTAAAGACTGTGGATTACAAGATGTGAGTTGACTGTGATTATATTCTTCTGAATTGATCTTGAAAGCCAACGTGTTGTTGGAGCACTTCCCAGCTTATTTAGTGTTCTGTCTTCACGACGCAGGGTCCTTGTCGATTGGCCCTCTGCTCCTCACCTTCCCAGGTCTGTAACTTGAGAGCATCTGTTTCTGGGTCATTCCACAGTAAAATTGCCATTTGGAGCCAGTAGCTGAGCAGTTTCATGGGCACTAAGGCTGTGCATGGGGTTGATGAGGAGCCAGGTGTCTTGGGCAGAGGTGGCCAAGCTGAGATTCGCCTGGGGGGCTGAGTTACCACCTCTCTCCTCTGCAAAAGGCACTGGAGGAACTCTTCCCTTTTTTTTTTTTTTTTGGAGAAGCCACTTTTATTTGGGTTGGGTATTTTTACATTTTACACCACCCCCAAATTGGTGGCATCTGCCCTGTACCCAACAGTGACATGCTGTCCTCACAGGCACCCACAGACGTGCACCATCCAGGCCGTGAAAATAACAAGCCGTTTTTAGGGCATATTTGCATGTCCTCTCCCTCGCTGTCAGACTGCAGTGTTGTGGGGGCGAAGAGGCAGATGGAGCAGCGAGATTGTACCGATGTAGAGGGATGCCAGCCCTGCACTGTGAACCCACCTCCAAATGCCTCCTAGGTCAGATCCCCAGGGGCTGGGAGAGCTAATTCTTAGAGTAACTAAAACCTAAAGGGGGGTGGGGAAAGAAACTTGCAACTGAAGAATCTATGGTCTAAAGATTTATTTGCATATGGCAAACTGCCTTGAGTGGATTTTCATATTGGCATTTTAGACTAGTAAAAATTTCTTGAATAATAATCAGATACTAGCTCATTAAGCATTTAATATGTCCCAGGACCTGCACAAAGTACTTAACATGCATGACTTCATTCATTCCTTATTCAGTCCTGGAGTCCAGGTTACCCCCATATTAGAGAAGAGTTTGAGGTCTAGGGAGGGGGTTCAGTCACTCAGGGTCACACTGCTGGGAAGTGATAGCACTGGGGCCCGGTGTGCCGCCATTACAGCCGGGTGTCACTTGTGCTGAGCTAAGTCCTAGGCATGGTACTAGGTCTCTTTGTAAAGTACCTCATTTACACTGCACAAGTACCCTCTGAAGTAATTAGTGTTGTTATTGTTGTTGTTATATCCACATTACAGATGAGGTCAACAAGGCTGAGGCAGGTCCAAGGTCAGTAGCTGGGAAATGAGCTCAGGCAGTCTGTCTTGAGCCCACATGCTGTGCGGCCTCCCATGCCTCTATACCCCTCCCAGACTTCTAACCAGAGCTCTGTTGAACTGGGGAGGTTGGATGAACCTGGCCCCGGAATGTTCGATCATTTTGATGACATTGCCCGGTGAGTGCTGAGCCCTGCAGTTCTGCAGCCTCACTGTCTCCTAGTCCCCAGAGAGAGAGAGAGAGAGAGAATGGGGGAGAGAGAGCGAGCCAGCTGAGCCGCCGTGCAGGCAGCTCTGTCAGAGGTGGTTCTTGGGCTGTTCGCCTTGCAGAGGCCAGCAGTCTCCTGGGCTGTATCCAAACGAACGGAGCAATTCAGTAAAAGAAAATGGGAGGAATTAAGTTCAACGACAGGTTTTGTGAATTATAAAATGCTTTGTGCTCATGTCGTTATTATTACATGGTCAACACATGACGTTAAACTGTTTTGGTGCCAACTGCTTGCCTGCAGTCCGTTTGTTCAAGCCATATTTGTTAAGCATCTATTATGTGCTGAGCACTGCACCAGGCGCTGGGAACCGAACTGCAGATAAAAGAGTCAAAGCCTTGCATCTCTCGGCGCTATATATTGCAGTGAGGGCATCCAAAAGTAAGCAAATTAATACACAATATATAAGGTGAGTTCGTGGTCAGCACCATGAAGAAAAATTAAGCAGACTAAGGACGTGGCAGTGGCAAGACTGCTCATTCTGATGATTGGCCAGGGACTCTGGGAACGTCATTTCCTGGGTTGTGGAATTTTTAAAGCTGTTGCTTCTTTCTCCTTTCTTTTCTAGTATTCCCTTTCAGGACAGCTTTGCTCTCTGGCTTTCTCCAGAGCTTTCCTTCCTTGACTTTTCCTCTGTAGCCCCTCACAGCTGGACTCCTCCACCAACCAGTCCCTATTGGCCTGAAGATCTTGGCCCTTCCCAGGTCATCTCCCAGGGAGCTGTGGCTGTGGTGGTCACACCCTGCCTCTGGGTCTGGAATGCATTTTCAGTTGGGAGGGGAGGGAGGCCCGAAGCCCCACCCTTGCACACACACATACACACACCAGACACTTTCTAATCAACCTGCTAGACAGGACCCCTCACCCTCTGGCCACCTCTCCGTGCTCTAGAGGGAACTCAAGAGTTCAAGGGAGGCTAAACTGGATGACCTTTCAGGAAAGAGACTGCACACTGGCATTCCAGGGGCAGGCGTCGGCCTGCAGATGAATCTTGTTCACAGGGTGGTTTGCTTTTTCTTTCTTTTTTAACAAAATCACAGTGTGGTTTTCTTTTTTAAAAAATTGAATGAATTGCCATATTTAAAAGCCAGGAAATGTGGACTTTCTGGCTTCTTTTAAAAAACCAGAATATCTAGCCACTTAAAGCCACACCCTTAGACGCAACAAGAGGTTGGAGCTGAGGAGCAGATGCCTGCTGTATTTGTGTACAGCCTTGAGTTCACCGCAGTCCCCACTACTCACTGATGTCTCACCCCCAGCCCACTTCACACAGTCTGTGTTGCCAACCTGATTTTGAGTCTGTGTCCCATATTCATGTCCCACGGACCTTGCTTGTTGGTTTGAACATTATGAGCTGTGTCAACTTGGCAAGTCACTTAAACTTTCTATTCCTTGATCGCTCTACTTCCCAGTTCTTATCTCCAGCCATTGTTCATTAGATTTTGCTATTTCCGAATTTCATTGACTTCAGGCAGAAGAAAAGAAAATGCAACAAAAATCAAACCAATCATTCCAAAATGTGACTGGTCATCAAAACACTTTGGGAAATTTCTTAAAAAATATAAATTTCCAGACCCCACCCCAGGCCCATGGAATCGGAATCTCCGAGGGTAGAGTCCTGGGAAGCTGTATAGCTAGTAGGCTCAGAGATGACTCAGCTACTTTTGGGAATGTGACTCTAAGTGGTTTCTTCCTGTCCTCAGGCTCTTCTGATCCTTATTAGGGAGCTTTCTGAGGGTGTCACCCTGAGGAATCGGTGTGTATGTATCATCAGCAACTGCCCTTTCCAACACAGGGCAGCTTCCTGTGTGTATTCCACACAGGGACTGGATCCGCGTCCTCATCATTTTCAGAGATGGAGAGGAGACTTAACTGTCTGTGAATTTCACGTTGGTGACTTCCTGTCTTCTCCAGGGCCCCTGGAGAACATTGAGAGTGTTTTCCCCTTTGGATGAAGTGTGAATAGGAATCCATGGACCGTAGAGCGGCCTTGGAAGCCGTGTTCACT